TGACCACTTGAAGGCAGCCCTGAGGCTACCGCGCCCAGAGGCTCACGATCGCCTAACAACGGGCTTACCTTGCGGCTGTCGTTCATCAGCCGCGCCTGATCATCCCGCTGACGGGTAACAGGCTAGATAAGATGCGCCATTTGTGCCGTTGATATGCTGGATAGTGTGAGGTCTATCGACGCGTCTGCAGAATTGGAATTCGAGAGGAAGTCATAGTATTCTGTAATTAGTGTGTAGATAGGTCCCAATTTCTCTAGCTCAGCACGTCCTGTGCTCCATTAGGAGACTTTCGGGGCCTACGGCCCCCCGGACGAAAAATATACATAACATAACATACAATCTGTTGATCACGAGAGATTCGACCACAACGACGCACGCCTGGTCTGCTCATGTGGCCGACGCAAAGCACCGGATCACATCTTCTACTGCAGAAAAGTACCGCTGCGTTATCGGATGAGGCTTGCACCCCAAGGGTCGGAACCACTACATCCACTCCACTTTGGACCAAATAGAGTGGATGTACGATTTTTTAGGCAATTACATAGTGGATGTAATACATATTCGACCGGAGTGGAATGGATGTACACACATGGATTTATAAGTGGATTTATAAGTGGAATTCTGAGGCTATTCACAACCTCGTGGGTGCGTATTCAGCCTCACTTTTAGAGGTTGACACTAACTCTTCAGCCTGTTGCTGCTGTGATGAATCGTCAACCTCGCTGGCGCTATTCTCGCCCTCCAATAGCCATTTTGTCTCAGCAAGCGCCAGCTCGCCGTCGCTTAGAGTCCCACAACCGGCATCAGGCTTACTTTCAAGGTGTGACTTAAGCAATGGATCCAGATCCTTGATAAGGCCAGCACGGTACCAAGAGCGTAAGACCTGACATATGGCGATGATCTCAGCATCCAGGTTCGTACGCAACCCCGAGACCATCTTGCCAGCAGCTGAAAATAACCTCTCACACTCGGCTGACATCGGCTGAATCGTCAGGAAGTCCAAGGCCATCCTGGATAACCGAGGATATCTGCTTTGCTTAGTGATCCAGTAACCAATTGGATCACGAACGGTGCCGTCGCTGGCGTCACGATCCGTCTGCCACGCTTGGTACTCGTCACCAACAATAGCTGCTGCGTGGGCTGGTAGTGAGTTCGGCAGACGACTGTTCTTCTCGAAGGGGTTGAAAAACCGAGGTCTTTTTGCCGGTGGCTCGTCGTCGCCTCTGCTGCTGCTGGTTCTAACCTCGAGATGAGCGTAATCGGACAGCCAGACGTCGGCAACCATCTCTTTTGCCTTTTCAACCCAACTAGGCTTATGAGCCCACGTTTCATCAAACCAGTCCCAACGATAAGCTGGATGCAGTGCCATAGCCGTATAGTAGATGGGCGTCTCGTCCAGCCGCCGATAATATTCATCCAGCTTATCCCAAGCAAGGTTGATTCCAATGCGGAAGTGCTCTGGATCAGGAAAGTCAGCAGCAAGCTGCTTATATTCTTCCAGTGTGTTAAGCAGCAACTCATAGCCAAGCACCACGTCCCAGATATTGCCATAGGAGCCAGTCCAGCCTTGCTTACGCCTGCGCATATGTCCATCACCCTCAAGCGTCTTCACCACGGTCTCAAAAACAGTCAGAATAGCCTCCAAATGGTAAAGAACCTCCCAGTCTTTGTCCGTTAGCTGATTCTCGTCTCGGAGGATGCGTGGTTTTTTCGCCAACTTGGCTTGTGTTACTTGGCCAGTCTTTTTAGACCTATTTTCGTCCTCCCATTGCGCCTTATACTTGATCAGTAGGAGTTCGATAGAGGTTTTCAACCGTAGAGCCCTGCGGATCATGTAGAGTTGTGACAGCCAACGCGTGTCGTTATCGATAATTAGCTTAAGTGGTTTCTTGGATCGGAGTTTAAGGGTGGCGGCGCGATCAATTTCGTCCTGTTAGATATACCGAAATTAGTAGGAGACGAATAGGATTTAGTAAAACCGCTCACCCTCTGGACCTCCTTGAATAAGTAAATCAGCCGATGGCTAATACGCACATCAACTACGATGTTGTGTAACTTGCCAACTGGTCCCTTTTTGCGCCATCGAGCGTATTCAGTATCAGATAACGCTTCTGCGCCTGATAATTGCTGCTCGAACGCGTCGGCGTTTTTTCCAAATAAGAGCGCCTTGGCTGACAAGTTAATTATGTGGCCAATACAGCGTCCTCGACGTAGTCGGCCATCGAACCCAAGCTCAGCACCAATGACCTCCATGGCAGTATCGTTGTTTTCAGCATTGTCGAGCGTGAAATAGCCAATCTTTTCTGGACTCACGCCAAGGGTGTGTAAGACGTCGAGAACCTCCCCACCGATCGTGGAGCCGAAGTGACGATGAGCCTCTGGAACCCCAATCATGATTTTGCATGGCCGATTCTTCTCATCTCTGAAAAAACAAGCAATGCCATAAAGGGCAAGCTTATTTCGAGACGTCCAGCCATCAAATGAGATATGAAGCGCTCCAGGGGAGTTCCTCAACACCTCGATAACCTTCTGCCTATGGCGGTCATACTCTTGAATGATCTTATATCGGACGGCCCTGGCAGTCAAGTTGGCCCGTTGGATAGAAACGGAGGGATTCAAATAGTCGAAGATTTCTTGGAGGATGGGGTTCTCGGCGAATGACAAGGACTGGTTGCTACTGACGATTAACTCGACTAGCATACGCTGAAAGTATTGTTTATCAAAGCGTGAGATGATGCTATTCGCAATATTCTGTTCCGTAGGCTTGTTGACGTCCAGTTTCAAAACAGAGGCAATAGTCGGCTGGTTCGATTTCAGTGCGCCTTCGGATTTCAGCTGTGCTGTACTCTTTTTCTCCCCCTCTGGCGCTGGTGTTTTGTGCTCACGCCATAGATGATTTGCCGCGTTCTGGAGACCTGAAGAGGTAAAACTCGCGATAGTGGGACGATTTACGAGGATACAGTCCTTGCAAGCCCATTTGCGTAAGCCATGACGTTGAATATCATAGCCAAAATCCCACAGCCAAGAGCTAGTATCACGAGATCGTTCTGACCAGGTCCAGCCTTTGAAATGTCGAAAAAGACGGTCTTCGAGGTGCTGCTGTTGGCCTGGCTGGGTGGCTGACATCGTCAATTTTTATTTTGGCAAAATCAACAGCAAAAAATCTTAGAAAACGCGATCAATAGGGGCAGTTTCTCGTATCACGTTAGAAGATTAGCTGTGGGGGTGATCGACCTTGGCTAACCATGAGTCCAGGTACCTCGATTTGGTAGGCAACTATATTCAAAATGAAGTACTATGGACCGTTCAGGGTCAGGGAATATCCCCCTATACCTAAATCCACTCCATTACATCCACTTTCAGGTCGGAATGTAGTGGATTATTACGTAAGCTGAGCGCCAGCAAAGTGGATGTAATAGAGATGGGCCACTTATTTGTGGTCCACGTGGATATGCAGTGTAGTTGGTCCGAGCCTTGCTGTCATGCATACCAACCACTAAACATGACGAATGGAAGTGCGTATTGTGGCAATTTCTTTCGTGGGTAGATGTGCTTTTTACGTTGTCTCCTTTCCTTCCCTTCACTTGAGAAAAGAGTAGCCTAATATGAAAATTTGTCGAAACACGATTGTTGATTACGCGGTCGCATTGGGTCTGGGTAAAAAAGGAAACGGCTGCATATTTTCAACCCCTATGGAAAGCAAATAGTGGGTCGTGTCTACCTGTGCCACTGCAGTCATCCTTGAATTATGTTGCGTGACCCTCAGAAGCCATCAAACTCCGTCTTTGATTGAGCACGGAGTAAGGCGGGGTTGTGAGACACGTAGGATTGAAGCAGGGAACAAGCTCGAATACGAGGTGTCAATCATGACCTGACCAGATGCCAAGAATCAAGAGGAGCTGAAAAGTCAAGTTAAGCAGTCCATCCTGCTCCCCGCTTCAATGTTACATTTTTTCAGTCTAGATCGGCCCGCCCCGGTGTAGATCGCCTAGCAGCCGATAAGAGCTATGCTAGCTCCATGACGTGACGATGGATAACTTTGTTGCCAGCCCCCACTATCGCTGCCTTGGCCGTTTGGACGAAAACGATTTTGTGTTTGTTGAAAAGTGATCCGGCCAGTACAGCTACATATTATGGCCAGGATAATAGCAGATGACGAGAAGCCCTTACCACGTCGCATTCGTGATACCTTACCTCGCAAGATGCGCCGCTTTGGGCAAAGATCTGCGCTGATTGATTTGGTACGCGGACTAATAGAGAAATTGGAGCAGCGTATCCGCGTTTACTAATTAGTCTTTTTATACGGCGCTATCGCTGACAGTGGGTTATATGCAAGTCAGCGTAATATTGAGACAATCTATTTATGTAATAGAATTATTAATCTTGTAATATTAGGCCATATATCTGCTTATGAGAAGTATGACATAATCCTGCTCGAACCATTAGCAAATTGTCCTTATCCTTATATTTAGATGTAATAGTTTATTTTGCAAGGTCTAATCTGTTAAATAACCTATTGATAATAAGTTCTACTGAGGGTATTTGGACCCAATGGATTACGTTTACGGGCAGTGCATAAGGCAATAGAAGAGTGACAGTGCAGCTAGAGCAAATATGAGACAGTGGCTGTCGTCGTTCACTGCATTGAGGCTCGTGTTTAAATTCGCTTTACTCACCTGCCTAGCTGAGACACTGCTTACCGCTGTCAAGCTCGTGCTGAGTGGTGGTTCCTCTAGCAGAGTTAGGTGGAGATTGCGGTAGAAGCATCCGCTGACGTTACAAAACTGGGAAAGAGGCGCAAGACCAAGCCCTGTTCTCGCAATACGAATTGGAAAGTAGCCTTAATCCTAGTGACCTTTAGTAACATATAACCAAGTTTGCTATTATATGGAACTTTAGGCCTAACCCCTTATTCGCTTCAGGAGTAAGACAACTATTAAAGCCCAGCCTTTATATACCTGCTTTACTTAATTATATCTTTCTTTACATACTTAACCTATGTCCTTCCAATTGTTGCAATTGGGCTATCTCGCCGAAAAATAAATACACATTAGGGCTAGTGCTTATGTTTGCATTTGCCTTTTTCTTACATATAGTAGGTGGAGAAAGTGAGCTTATATGAGTCGTATACTTACCAAATATAGGCTAGCCGTAATGTATTTACCTCAAGATGCATATTGACCTCGAGAAATAGAACCTATTAAGCAGAAATCTCGCATCTTGTGACCCCGTCTCCTTATTACAATCTTGGCGCCCTTCTCCCTTAATGCACGGGTATATAAGTAGCCTCTCGGACTTCGCATAATTTAACAAACCACAATCAACAGTTCTCAACATCTAGACTACCTACTACTTTCTATCTTACCACTATGATTCGACCTACTCTTCTTGCTACTGCCATCCTCGCTGGTCTCTCGACAGCAGCGCCAACCAGCACAGCCGACTTACCTCGCACAACCGGCGAGGCTCGCAGCCAGAGTGAGGTTATTGGTATACAGAGCTTTATGGGAAGCTGTCATTCCTGTTATAATTCATGGAATATACTTACCTGCACATGCCATAATGGCGAGGGGGAGTGGTTTAAGAGCAGTCTTAACCTTGACTCATGTCTTGGGAACGCTGATGGCTGGTTAAGGTGGCAGAGTGGGTATGTTGCCCCTTCGAAGTTGTGAACGCATACGCTAATTCTACGCCCCGCAGTGGGAGGTTTTCTATACTATGCGACAGTTTCAAATTGCATTTACCAGACCACAAATTTAGTGTTTCTTGTAGGACTAGTAGTGGAAATTGGATTCCATCGTTTGTCATGCTGAGTATGTTAATCTTGCTGTTTGGGAGAATGTTACTAAGTTAATTTACAGATGAGAGAATTCACAACAGTAAAGGATATCTGTGGTGCGGCGTTTAGAAGCTTTTTGTGACCTTTAAAGGACCCTATCAGATCTCTATTCTATTCTATTACTCTCCTTTTCCTTATTTATTATCGAGTGGAGTAAGGACTCCTGCCTGTCTTTACTAGATACAGAAAGCAGACTAGTCTATACATTCATTTACTATAAATATTATATCAGTGTATAGTTAATACAGCGTTGTGCTATAAACCGTGCCATTAACGACTGGAAGATCAAGCCTAAAGTGGTAGGACTTATAACTTTTATATTTAATAAGCTAGGTAAGAGTTAGGGTTAAAGAAGAGAAGGTGTAGTTGTAAACCGCTAACTGCTGATGTAAGAGTTGTGCGAAGCAAGTAAAAAAACAGCAGGAGTGGTGTAAGTTAGGTGGGTTGGGTGAACCGCTGGACGTGCATAAGCGCGTGTTTAGCGCACAGGGTTAGGGTTAAAGCACTGTCCTACCAAGTATTCAAGTCGGGAACGCGCCCCATTCCCGCTTCTGCGCCAATCACCTATCCCTAACCATCCTTGTCTACTACCACCTCGGGAACGGGGCCCGTTCCCAAAATCCAGCTCATTTCCCCAAATTATCAGGGATCATCTGGGAATGGGGCCCGTTTTCCCTAGTGACACTAATCCAGCCAATCATCATTCTGTTCAAGTCCAGAGTAGGCATAGAAGCCATCGCGGCAGTTAGGTAGACCCCGCAAGGGAGCAAGGGATCCCTACCTATGCCCTCCCCTTTTCTCTCTATAGGAGGTAAGTCAGAGAGAGAAGGGAGCCCTCCTTCCTAAACAGCCCAATATCGAGTAGCTATCCTCTTCCTAATCAGCTATCCTCTTCGCCAAAGTGAACGATGATTGAGCAGCTCGACCGCCTCGGACTTTACCTCAACCAGCCAGAGCCAGCGATCCTATGCATTCAATGCAAGTTCGCCCTCAAGGCCGATGGAGACCGTGTCTCGCGGCACCTCCGAGAGCGGCATGGCATCTCCAAGCTGGCTCGCCGAGGGCTTGGCCCATTCATCCGAACCCTTTGCCTTCCAGACCCAAAGACACTGCCAATGCGGTCGGATGGCTCTTCACCCCACCCTCACCTCCGCATCCAGCAGGGCGCCGCCTGCAGGCATTGCGGGCTCCGATCGACTAGCCTCGAGGTTCTCTCTCGGCACTTAAAGGAAGTCCACCCCCAAGATATCCAGCATAGCAGAGGACGCGGCTTCCCTGAGAGTCACTGGCTGCAGGACCATATCCTAGACCGACTTAGCTTCCAGGCCTGGACCGTGAGCAACATTGGGCGTTCCTGGACGGTTCATCTATACCGCGGTCAGCCCCAGGGACCACACACGCCTGTCACCATATACCAGGCGCCAGAAGCTATACAGGTATTCGCCAAGGAACTCTTTGTCAGAGAGCAGCAATATCTCTCCCAACAAGCACGGGGTAGTCTGCCGCAACCCACCGGCCGGACGACAAGCGCAACCGACCCAGTCCTCATAACGAACTGGATGCGGCGAACTGGCTGGGAGGAGACTTTCCGCAATACGCGACGAGACCTAATCGTCGCGATGGCTCAGTGCCCTCCCAAAGAAAACTCAGGGCCGCTATGGCTTGCCAATTATAAGGACGAGGCTCTAATAAGCAGTCAGGAGGATGAACACAAGCTGACCCGGATGATGGCCGCCCTTGACCGTCTATTCGAACGCTCCAACGATACCATCAAGCACACTGATATTTCCCTCCGGCGATGGCTTCGCGGCATATATCCTGACCGACCCTATAAACGCCCATTTGAGCTAGTCGTCAAGCCTAGTACAGAACGAAGATATCGCCAACTGCTTAAAAAGTGTCTATGCTTCTGGTTTCGACTCTGGCGTCTACCCCCGACACTGACCAGGCGTCTATGTCAACGAACGCTCTCTAAGCCTCAGAGGATGGCGTTGGAGACCTTATGGGATGATCCTGCATGGGAACAATACGATAGTTTCGAGAATGTATCCCTACTCGACGAGGAGGAGGAGGAATATGAAGAGGAATATGAAGAGGAAGAGGAAGAGGAGGGGAATAATAGCGAGGACGAAGACCCCAATGCACATTTTATCCAACCACCACCGCCACCACCACGACAAGACCCCAAGGCCGACCTAGTCTTACAATTCTGCCTATTTATGGCGACTGAGGATTTTGCAGATGGAAACTCAAAGTCGACAATGCTTGTTTACTTCAGCGCCACATGCGGACTTACATCGCCTATGGGTGCCGACTTTCTCCGCCCGGCTCAATTCACTAGCATCCTCTCCAGCCTCATCTATTGTACTCGGCTTCTTATCATGGAATCCGTGCTGCCTAGATTCTCACATAACTACATTAATCTATTACAAAGGCCTCAGTATGGGCAACTGGATATATTGAATGATATCCGTAAGAATAAGATGTGTGACGGGACGCTATCGCCACTCGGGGAGTTTATTAGTTTAGCCTCCTATGGCCAGTCCCTGCGTCAATCGGAGGGCCCGACAATCCAGTTCGAATGGAGCGACGATGGTGAGGAGATATCATGGGATGGGTGCTCTCGAGTTACCATGGATGGGTTTCGGACCCTAACCCACAGCGCAATCCAGGCAGCAACCCGCCAGTGCGAGTGGTTGATGTATGACTGGGTGCCACCAAACCGCGATCTTAAAACACTGCGCGACCGACTATCGACGGCCACGGTTGGGTATTCCTTTGTCTCTGACCCGGCCAACGGGATAGCAAGTGCTTATTTGGAGCTCCTCATGAAGGCCTGTCTCTCGCCTGTTAATCGACTTACTCTGGTCGGGGAAAACAAACGCAGTTCCTGGGATAAGAAAGCAGTGTGCGGCTATATCGACGCACACAACGATCTCCTCCGGATGATCCTACTATTATGCCACTTATCGTCGGGACAATGTGCACGGGCAACAGAGCTTTTAACCATTCGACATGGCAATACGGCTTCACAACTCCGTGGCATCTGCCTATATGATGGGCGGCTTTGTCTGATCACGAGGCATCATAAGACCCGAATATCCACCAACAACGAATTCTATGTTGTCCGTTTCCTGCCTGACCTAGTTACAGACATCATGTATCGATATCTTGTCTATATTCGGCCGTTGACATACATGCTTCTGCGGGTCTGTTTCGCGAGCTATGCCACCACTCCATTGCTGTTCGCTCCTGCTGGACCGAAGTCCGCATGGACAACCGCGGTGTTAACTAGAGAGCTTCAGCGGCTTAGCCAAGCCACCTCTGGAATTTCCATTGGCATTGGAGTCCAGCTATATCGGCAGCTCTCTATAGCTATTACCGAGAGGCACCTTCGGGATATTTCAGAAAGTTTCGACCGGTACAGTATCCATGCCGCCTACGGGGACGCAGATGTAGCGTATGCATGGCAGAGCGGTCATATGCAACTACAGAGGTCCATCACATATGGGCTCGATGGGGCGTTCCCAAATCAGCTCCAACCCGCTCTCCTACAGTTATATCTACGTGTCTCGAAAAGGTGGCATGAGTTCCTGCGGCTCGGGGATGGATGCAATGGCGATGCCGTCGACTTGGATGAGACAAGTACTGCGGACCAGCGAGCAATTAATCCAAGAAGACGCATACGCTCCCCAGATTCCACTGAAGCACTTAGAAGCGTTTCAAAGCGCAAGAGAGTGGTCGATTCTTCTGGAAGCTACACCGACTCAGTCAACATTGGCCCATCCCTTAGCCCGAGTATGGCTACACAGGAAGCTACCAACCAAATGGATCCGGCACATGATGGTACCTTGAGTCAATGGCCGCGGTCTGACCATGGTTTGACTGCGGGTCCAGGCCTAGCACTCGATGCAGACTACTGGGTTGAGGCCATGGCCGACGAGCTGCTTCACTACCCAGCGTACCGATGTCTAGTCTGCAAGACTCATGGCTATGCTGTATCAAACCTCGACAGCCACTTAAAGACTCAGCATGCCCATATCGGTGCTAAGACCCGGCGTGTCATCTCGGCTCGCTACGCTGGGCTCGAACTACAGGGACTATCCAAGGATGATTTCCCACATAGCCCACTGAACCCGATCCCAGCCATTGAGGGCCTACCTCTACACACCGGCTTTGCATGTACGCAATGTGGATTCCTAACTAGAAGCTGGAAGTGCCTGAAGGTACATCACAATCAGGTTCACGGAACGAAGGAGATAGGACACCGCTTAGGGCTCTGGTCTAGCGTCCTCCTACAGACCTTCTTCACCACTCCCCGGTCGGCCATCCATTACTTCTGCGTCACGGCCTCATCTGGGGATGGGGGCTGATAGGCCGGAGGTTAGAGTCCCGCTGCTGTTTGGGCCGCTACAGGAGAAGACCAGCATGGACCGGTACCTGGGCTATGTAAAACGCTTTCTGTGCTACTGTCTCAATGTATTATCGCTAGAAGAAGAGGTCCTCCTTGCCGACCACGGCTTTCGCTTTACGTTGGAGCAAAGGGCCAACCTCGAGAAGCTCTGGGCCCATCTGCAAGGGGAGGAAGACGAAGAGATCGAGGGAGACGACGATGAGGCGGAGGAGGACGAGATCGAGGGGGGCAGGCCATCATCAAGCAGCCGCCATAATAGCCCCAATAGCGATGAGGGCCTACAAGAGCGGATACTACAGGTCTTGGCGGGCTTCTGGACGCAGCGGCTCGACGGGGACCCTTTCGCGAGCCCGCTGTGGCACTTCGTCGGCGTGCTGGGGATCGACGGCGAGACGGGGCAGCTGCGACCGGCCCACCTATTCACCTACGTGCTCGCCGGTCTCGTCTTCACAGGACGGGCGCTGTTGGGGGAGTGGGCCATACCTACCCGGGAGCGGGACGGCATGGAAGACCTCACCCAACGATTCGCCCAGGTCCGGGACGCCTGGCTCTGCAAGGCCACATACTCACCCATGGGTTACATACTGAGCTTGCTCTTGTTCGGGAAGAAGATCGCAAGGGAGACAGGGAGCAGGCTTATGGTATCCTGGAGTAAGCAAGGTGAGATGATGTACTTTATGGGCAAGCCGATCCTGATGGAAGACCTCCGGACCATGGTGGCCAAGATGACGGCCGATGCCGAGGACCTCCTCTGGGGTCAGCTGATGTTCAAGGAGGGTGACGACGAGCGCTTTGTGATCCCCCTGGCCGGTATCGAGGACGACCTCACGCAGACGAGGCGGGGGCAATCCTTCATCCATCGCAATGGTCTCGCCGGTAAGGAGGTCGAGATGCTCGAGGACCTTATCGCGAGCTCCCGGAAGACCGACCTTCTTGACCAGACGGGCGAGTGGAAGTGGGCGGGCATCAGGAAGTACCTCAAGCTGGTCAAGAGGTTCGAGGAGTTCTTGCTACTCCTCGCCCACATCACGGGAGGCCAACCTAGCCGAGGAGAGGAGATTACAGGGCTGCGCCTCATCAACGGCATCAATAGGGACCGCAACATCTTCATCATCGACGGCGAGGTTGTTCTCGTTACGCAGTACCACAAGTCCCTCGCCCACTTTGACTCGCCCAAGGTCATCCCTCGCTTCTTGCCTGGGCGGATCGGGCAGCTGTTCGTGATGTATATGATCTACATCCGGCCGCTGACAGATCGCTGGGAGGCCGATAAGTGGGAGCTGTACGGGGAGAAGATGGCACCGCCGAGCGACTTTATCTGGCATAACGAGGCGGCAGGAGGAGTACCCTGGGAGAGCAGCCAAATGTCAGCGGCTATGGGGAGGTGGACGTCTTACTATATCGGCCGCCGGATTATGCTCCAGGATTGGCGCCACATTGCCATTGCCATTAGTAAGAAGCATGCCCGTGACCGAGGAGCTGGCCGGGCCGACTTCGAGGACGGCGAGGATGATCATGATGAGTCAGAGCAGTATGAGGTACCAGATGACCTAGCCGCCTCTCACACCGGCCAGACAGCCGCTAACTATGGCGTTACGATTGATATACTTAAACGCTTAACGGCTGAGTCCCTAGAGATCTTTGGGCAGGTAAGCCATCGCTGGCATAAGTTCCTCGGCTGTGATAAAAGCTCATCACTGCTATCATCGCCATCGGGTAAGAAGGTCGAGCCTATTCCCAGACAAGATAGAGAGGTGAAGGAGGGACACCCCCCCAGGAAGCGGGCCAAGGTTACATCCCTCGAGGCATTACAGGCAGGCAAGATAGGGGTAAAAGAGAAGGAGAAGCAGGAGAAGGAGAAGAATGAAGAGGAGGAGGAGGAGGATATGATTATACGGGCGCTACGGGCAGTGCTACGTAACAACAATGCCCGATTTCGGTCACCCCAGCAGGAAGAGGCCGTGAGGCAAGCTGCAGCTCAACAGAGCCCGCTTGTGGCAGTACTGCCAACAGGTGGCGGCAAGAGCTTGGTCTTTATGGTCCCGGCCATGCTAGCAAGCGCAGGTGTCACTATCGTGGTAGCTCCCTATGCCGAGCTTAAGAGGCAGCTTGTGCAACGCTGTGTTGATGCCGGCCTAGATTGCAAGCCCTGGCCCGAGGCACGGTCATCTTGGCCCAGGGTCACGCTTGTGTCAGCCGAGGCGGCCATAACTGATGACTTCCTGCAGTGGGCGGCCGACTTAAGCGTTAATGGGAGGCTAGACCGCGTGGTTATCGACGAGTGTCACCTAACCTTCACGGCTGCCGAGACCTACCGCTCGAAGCTCCGGGGCCTTGTCCTCTTGCGGAGCCTAGGTTGTCCCTTTGTCTTCCTTACCGGGACCCTGCCGCCGCTCCGCCAGCGTGACTTCGAGGAGGCCATGCAGCTACAGAACCCGCTCTACATACGGGCCTCGAGTCACCGGCTGAATGTGCGATATGCCGTCCTTCGCGTCCGTAATGGGCGGGGCGTGATGGAAGTGAAGAGACGGGTGGAGGCACGATTGCCAGACCTGTCGGCAGGGGAGAAGGGTATTATATACTGCACCAGCCAGGCGAAATGCAAGGCCCTCGCCCGCCAGCTCGACTGCCACTACTACCACGCCTTGCGCGACGACAGCGACTCGCAGTTCATCGCCCAGCGTGAGGAGGGTTTCCAGGCATGGCTCCGAGGCGAGGCCCCTTACATAGTGGCAACGGCGGCTCTGGGCACGGGCATCGACGTCGCCGGTATCATCCACGTTATCCACCTCGAGGCTCCCTTCAGTATCATCGACTACGCCCAGGAGGCCGGGCGGGCCGGACGAACCGGAGAGCCTGTGACGGCCGAGGTCATTATTGAAGATAAGGACTGGCCGGACGAGGACGCCGCGGGCGAGGCCTGCTTAGATATAAGCGTGCGGGAGGTACGCAGGCTGATCCGGACCCGAGGGTGCCGGCGTCGGCTGCTCGGCCAATGCCTAGATGGCGACCTGCGGGACTGTAAGGACCTCGGCGGCGATGACGAGACTAAGGTCACAAGATGCGACAACTGCCACTATGACGAGCTGGCGTGGAAGAGCGAGCTATCGGCGCAAGGGATTATTGCCTCGCATGCCCGAGGCAGGCAGGATGCCTACGCCCTCGAAGTTCTCGAATCTGCCCTGGAAGAGGTCGAGGAGCTTGGCAAGATGGGCTGTCGTATCTGCTGGATGTTTGATGGTATCGAGGAGGCCAGGCATATGTGGGGCGAGTGTCAGTCGACGGCCGGGACAAAAGACCTATCGTTCACCAGCTGTATGGACTTCCAGGGTCTAATTGACTATAAGAAGGACCGGCAGGCAAGATTCCTGAGCTGCTTCTACTGCCATGTATCACAAGAGCTCTGCCGAGACGGCTATAAGACGAAGGGGGCCTCGTGCTGGCGGTGGAAACATACGGTGATCCCTGTGGCATTAGCCGCGACCACGGAGGCAGATCTACTGCTACGGATACAAGAGGCGGCCGGACGAGAGTTTAAGAGCCGGCAAGACTATGGGGACTGGCTAGGTCGAAAGCATAGTAAGCTACTATGTGGGCGGGAGATGACTAATGCCATGGCGGTATTTATGATAGTACTTAACTGGAGGCAAGATAATAATAATAAAGGAAAATAAGATAGTTAAAGGAGAAATAGTGTAATAAAATAAGAAATATAATTAAACACAGATCGAGATAAAAATAATGAATTGAATGAAAGTAATGATAATAATGACAGTTTAGATAGTAAATTAATTAATGAATGAATAAATGAATGTATATATAAGTGAATGATGATAGGATTCAGGTAGGTCTAGGGTAGCCAAATGGCAATGATAAGTAGGCGATAAGATAAGGAAGTCGGGTATGGTATAGGAAGCAAGTAGGATAGAGAATATTAAGTATAATTATTATCTATTTTCGTTATTGTTGTCTGTTGGGTTGCTTACTTATATGTTAAGGACTGAGGGTGATAATGATGATTTACCTGTAGCCCTAACCCTAACCCTAAAGCAAAAGCGAAAGTTTTAGTTTAAGTAGGGAAGGTAAGAGGCTAGCAGGTATTTAAGAGGGTTAGGTAAAGGATAAGAACGGACTGGCTGACTGTTATATTAATGCTGAGCTAGAAGTTAGACTAAGGCTTAAGGGTAGCCTTTAACCCTAGGTATTATTCACAGGCGATTCATCATAAATCGGCCACCAAAATGGATAATTTCGCTTAAACTTTTAGGGTGAATCGCCAGAGGCTCGATCGGGTAGTTAATTGGTTGAAAATAACCCCAACCCCACACTTGGGGTTAGCTAGCGTCAGCTTGGGGTTAGCATGATGCATTGGAAAGGGGATTTCAATCAACAGAGGAAAACAACAAGACTATTTCTCTCTTTACTTTCTGTTATCGAGATAAAGGAGGTGACATCAAGCAGCAATGGAGGACATCATACAGCTCAATCAGGACTATCAGATACTGATCTGCCGGCTATGTCAAGCAGCCGTTCGACCCGGCAGCAGCATTGAGACCCATTTTCGACAGAAGCATCTGCTGAAGGGCCAAGTGCTCAAGGACATTAAAGACTACTACGGCACACTTGAACTAGCTGACCCGAAGCTTGCTGCAACCCCCGAAGATAACAGTGAGGCAATTGAACAGCTTGTTATTTCACACGGATACAGCTGCAACGCATGCCGATATCTCACTATTGCACGAGATAATATTGTCCGCCACTGGAGAGAGGCAGGGCATGGAGCAGCAGAGGAGCGATGGACCGAGGTGCGGCTGCAGACGTGGATGGGAGGACATTATGCGCGCTACTGGATCGTTCGAGACGATAGCGATAGCAATGGCCCGTCCGATACGGCTGACGAAGCTAATGCTAGAAGTCAGAGCGCTATGGATGAGGTTATCGCCGCAAGTGAGGCTCGATTGAAAGAGAAAGATGCCGCACGACTGCGAAAAGGTGACTTAAAGGAAGATATCGACCGTGACTCGTCGTGGGTTAAAAGGGTAGGCTGGGTACGACACTTTGGCTCCCGGGACTTGACCAGTATTCACGACGCAGCCGAGTGGCTACGGGCGAGGGCAGCAACGGGCAGGCGGACTGTGGCACAAGACGATGAAGAAGCAGTCCGCGAACGACTATTGCTTGGCCGGCTTGGACAGAGCTTTGATCGTGAGGTGGAACGTTGCTGCTGGCGACTTGACAGCGTGCCGACTGAGACGCTGCAGTGGCTCGCTAGCATTTCATCGACAACCCCGTCCGGTCAACCGTTCGGCCGCAAAGGCAAGGAGGCATCGATGATCAAATACAAGTCTGTCGGTCACCGTTACTTGGGTTTCTGCTGGAAGGCATATCATATCGGTCGTAAGGAAGCGCTTGAACGCTGGGCCGTTCGCTTTACGGATGAGCAGTGGAGTTTGCTACAGGATATTGCAGACGAGCTTGAAAGAGACCGGGTTCCAAGCAGTCACGACAGCGGATTCTTCAGCGGCAGAGAGAGACAAGCTACTGATAAAGACGAAGACGAATATCAAGATGATGATAATAGTGATGAAGACGAGCGAGGAAATGAAGGTATGACTAGCTCACTAGATGGTGCGCTAGATCGAGCCGTATTCAACTTCATCGTGGCTTCGATCAAAACTCACGTCGGCGGAAATGTATATACGAATTCGCTACTATGCTTCTGTGCGGCACTAGGTATTAACCGACACCCACTAGGCTATTTGGAGCCGCATTTGTACACTGGTATGCTAGCTGGTATACTATGGTGGGCCCGGCTGTTCTTTTTAGAAGCTGTATTTGAGAATCAGCCGGTAGATCAAGATGAGGTTGGGATAGAGGCCGTACTTGCATTTCGAGAGGAGCATACATCATGGATGTGTATAGGCACTCACAGCGTCATAAGTACGATTATCGGATGGATGGCATACGGAAAAGGGTACCGGCAGAAGAACGGGGGGCAGCCGTCGATACGATGGTCTGACGACGAAGAGGGATTATTTCACATGGGCGAGCACATCAGCGTCGAGGATTTTACCCGCACACTACGCGATGAGGTTACTGAGGCAGAGAAGCTGCTAAATGGGCTGTTTGGTGGGGTGTGGCAGACAGTCAGTAAGAAGATCGATATGGGTCGGATCGTCGATAATATGATACGGCTCGGGGCAGGTCAGTCATTTGTAAGCAACCTAATACTACAGTCCAAAATCAATTGTACAACAATTGATTTAATTTACCCCACTTTACAGGGGGTTGACTTGATTTTTGACAAGGGGTAGACTTGAATTTCGAAAAATGGACTACAGTAGCGTTGGGGTAAACTCGATTTTGACAGGGGTTGACTTGGATTTCTGATTGGTTCTTGGTTACACGTTCAGGCAAGACAACACTTTAACAGCAGCGCGTCGAGCTTTGAATCCTATTTATCAACGTCTATCACAATGAATGTGAGATCTAACCAACAATCTATTATTTTTTAGCTTGTTTCAAGAATATCCGTCAGACCATGGCACTCAAGCCTATAACGGAGCTCGGCCCTTCCAACCCTATCCTAGCTGCGTGGCGGATTCAGGTCTGAATCCATTTAAACTCCCATAATAAAAAAGGGAATTGATAGAGCGGCATGACGGTTTTGATACAGAGGCATGACCTTACAGCGGCATGACTTTCACGGGCTTTGATTCGCTAAATTTTTAATTGTTAGTAGATTATGGATTCTGCCCCCTGCACTAAAAGTACTACAGCTTTAGCTCCGGACCAGCCGTAATAACACTAGGCGCGTAGACGCGTTCCCATGTCTTGACCTCATATCTTTTATCACTTCCATGATGTCTTCCCCTGCAGTAGAACGACGTATAGGCCTTCGTAGGGCGCGAAGCTTAAGCCCTAGCAATCAAATACACCGTGAAAAACGACAGCGAACAAGCCGACAAGCCAGTTTTAGCCCTCCTTTACTCGTAAATCGACCGAACTCTGCAAGCAGTTCTGCAGCAAGCATCGGCCAATACTATGGAGTAGGCGACGAAGACACGCTAAGCAATCTCTTTGCTTCTTACCCACAGACTTTTTCGACCTTCCCACTGCCCCACGGCTCGCAGGGCCTACACGAACCTGCGTGGGATCTGCGGTTTGATTACGAGATTCACCTTCTAAATGAGTTTCCATCAGGGAGAACACGACTTCAGCGAGTCAGGGCCCCTATTCCAGGTCCCGAAATCGACCCTGCACCTTTCTCCTCCCCACCAGAGCCAGCCCAGCGGCCACCGACCGCAACAAGAGCTGAGTTCGAATCTGCTATGAAAATTGTACGGCAGGTTGTTGGTGAAGACCAGAGACTGACTATTGACCTTGCTCGGTCATACGAACGAGTGCGTGCATGGCGAGAGCGATGGGGCTGGTCACCGCTCAGCTCAGACGCCTACGAATCTCCTCCACCATACTCTCCACCGCGCAAGTCACCTACACAGATTCTTCAAGTATCACCAAGGGCCGAATCACCGGAATCATTACCTTTTCAACAAATCTCTTCACCTTCTCCAGGCCCAATCCCTAACCCACCTATTCCAGGCGATCCGGCGCCATTGGCTGAAGCTCTCTTCGACTCGGTCAATTTGTTCGCGAAAGAAAACGGGTTTGGCATCGTTCGAAGGAATGCCTATTCATATAAAGGACGACGGATAAGATACTCGCTTCAGTGTGATCGATTTGGACAGCCAGGGGCTTCAAAAGGCGCAGGCCTTCGACAGCGTAAATCTCGGAAGTGTGGCTGTAAGTGGATGGTAATTGCTGAAGCCCTGGAAGAGGGCAAATGGCTTCTACGACAACATCCAAACTTGGAACACAGCCAGCATAACCATGGGCCTAGTATCACATCGTCTGCGCACCCCTCCCATAGACGACTCACTACGCCAGTAAGGGCAACCATTGAATCAACAAGCCGTCGAGTCGGCATCCGGGCTCGTGATGTTCGGGCCGTGATCGAAGAGCAACATCCTGAATCGTCATTTACTCAGAGGGATATCTACAACGCCCGCGCGCTCATCAACCGGGAAAAGCTAAATGGCTACACACCTACTGCGGCATTAATCAAGCTCCTCGACGAGATGGAGATTCCCTACCTTGTCAAGTGGGCTGATGACCAACCAAACCGTCTACTTGGTCTTGTCTGGACGTTTCCTTATTGCATCCAGATGTGGAAGCGGTTCCCCGAGGTCATAAGCTTTGACAACACATACAATACTAATCGATTCAAGCTTCCCTTATTCCAAGCCACTGGTCAGACCTGTCTTGGGACTGTATTCAACGCAGCCTTCGGCCTGATCGACAATGAGAGAAGAGAAGGCTTCCAATTCCTCGCTGAGAGCATTCGCCAGCTTATAGACCAGCACTCTATTAGGCAACCTGATGTCATTATCACCGACTTCGACGACTCTATGAAGGCCGCCCTCAATGATCAGTTTCCTGATGTGCAGCAACAGCTTTGCATCTATCACATTAACTCGAATGTCCTGCTTAAATCGAAGCAGAAGTGGGCTAAGAAACGGAAGAGCAGTAGTAGCCCTGACGCCAGTGACTGGGAGGATTCTGCCCCTCAGACACAGGCTGAGCTCAGCGTTACGAACAAACAGCTGGTCCACTCGCTTACCGGTGACGAGATTTCTCACACCTACAGAGGGGTTCTTATGATGTGGAAGCGTGTACTCTTTGCTGAAACAGAGGAGGTCCATGAGAAGGCGTGGAGAGACCTTTGCAAGAAGTTTGATGACCAAAGAGTCATCCTACGCTATCTCCATGGGACCTATCTGCCGGTTAGGGCCCAGTGGGCACGCTGCTTCCTCCGCAAGCATCGCAACTTTGGTATCCGCGTCACCTCCGGAACAGAGGCAAGCAACAACAATATCAAGAGCTATCTCTTGAACGGCATGAGCCACTTGTATCGACTCGTCGAGGCAATGCAGGACATGATGAAAGATCAAGAACGTGACTTCAAGGATGCCTGCGCACAGGATGAGGTTCTTACTGCCCGTGAATATCTAGGATCAAGTGGAGACTACCTAGGTGATCTACCAACAGTGATTTCATCGAAGGCGCTTGGGTTGATCAACAAGCAATATCGTATTGCTCGTAAGGCGATGCCTACCGGGAAGAATCCCTTTCCAGAGCCTCTCTCAGACTGTAACGATGACTGTTCGGTTTCTGTCGAGCTTGGGGTCCCTTGTTGTCATAAAGTCTATGCGAAGCTGGGATCTGCAACGTCTTTCACTAGATATGATGTCCATCCACGTTGGCGACTACGAGATTCATCATCCCAAGATCCATACCGACGGATCCTTGATCCTAGGATTGCCACTGCTCTACGTGGCAGACCTAAGAATACTGCGCAGCCTGTGCCTTCGAGAATGGCCATCGGCGGGAGCAGCCAAACCGTCAGTCAACTGACCAGCCTAGCAGCAAGCCAGCCAGCAGGCCGTAAGCGAGGTCGGCCGCCGCGAATCGTCAATAAATCTACACTCACCAGGGTCTCGTTGGAACCAAGTCAGCATAGTAACACGCAGGCCAATAGTGAGGTAAGCAGCTTATCGACTCAGTGTCAGACACAAAGTCAGTCAGCCACCCTCGGATCTGGACGAACAACAGGAGTTCGTGCTAGCGGTCGGAGGACGCAACCTAGCATCCGGAGGACGAGGAGTCAATGGGAACTAGTTGACAGCGATGAAAATATACTTCCTTCTATAGTAGTCAGAGAGTAGAGCGTTAGACGTGTTTCCTGAGCAATAAACAGAGCAAGAATTTTCCATTAAAAACGAGACCTCTTGAGACACCGTACTATGCCAAGATCTTGAGCACTGGGAGAGCTTGAGGTAAGAATAAGGTCATGTTAAGAGAGCTGGTCACACTGGGTTCGTCAGGAAGTATTTATGGGTCCGCGAAGAACTGACCAATTGAATGTTATATAAAGTCATGCCGCTGTAAGGTCATGCCTCTGTATCAAAACCGTCATGCCGCTCTATCAATTCCCATAAAAAAAACGGCCCTAATGAACAGACGACCTGAACCCATTTAACCCAAACGGATTCAGGTCACCCCCAACTTTTAGTTAATAAAATGCATTTCAAGTAGATGCATCAATTTATTACATTAAGCCCACTTCACAGTTCAAGTTTCAGCCCGAGATAATCATAATTGCGACATTAGGACTGGGTCAAAGTTCGAATCCATTTCTATACAATGGCGGGTAAAGTAGAGATATATGAGCTACATCGGACCAAGGATGAGTTCACCTTTGTCTACCGCACGCTCAACTTGAAGTTTACTATAAGGTACCTGTACATACAAAAATGCTCTCCTATCTGTTGCTGTCCCTTTTTCTTTTCCCCATGTCTCGAAAAATTGCCGCTCGTGGCCGAATAAACGCCTCCACCTTGGTCCGCTGCGTCTGCTCTTGAACGTCACGTCCGGGGAGATATCCGTAGGGCTAATAGTCTGGTTCGTATCTTTGCAGGAACCTTACATTACTGGAATGTCATTGGCTCCAGTTAGGATGTGGTTGGACAAGTAACTCTCCGATACAGAGCAGTCGAGACTTGTGATCTCTGACCGGCATGTTCCGGCTTGATCTCCGCAGGAAAACGGAAGGGAACGGGAATGTGAGACTATCAAACAGATCTATCACATTTATCATAAACCCAAAGTACTTTACTTCGCATTTTAAGCTTATTTATACTTTTTAATGTAAGAACTACACAAGCTATATCATTTTGGCTGGTCTAGACAAATCTAGGACTTGAGGTGAGGGGGGACCGGTAGTTGGTTTTCCGATGGGGAATTCCACTTCACCTACACACCATCTTAGAAGCTCAGCCAGCCACAAGCGGGGTACCAAACATTTCCATCACAGTCCACTATTCACATGCTATCGGCGTTCAGCCGCAAGCCTCTATAAGCAACGAATAGAAAGCTGTCATATATTTTTTGTTTCAGTTGATCACTGGGACCATAAAGACGGCACTAAGCGAAGTTACGATTACAGATAATCAAGACACCGTTGCATCCATCATTTGATCTCACCGTCTGAGCGCGATCATGTGCTGATGTTCTATGGCTTTCAGCCGCAGATTTAGACATGGAAAATAAGAGATGCCTCACTTTAAAGGGTTTCTTCCGCTTTTTGAAGGAAAGGCGGTGGTTTTGGACGATGATACAGCTATAAGGCTTCCCATGACCCTTCTGCCATAGTACCGTGCTTCATAGTCACACTCTCGTCCAAGACGAACTCTGATCACGCCTAAATATTCTACTCAGCTTCTTCACCATGTCTGGCCCAACTATCAACGGCAATCCCTTCTCTGTTTCCTCCCTTCCAGATGGCCCTGAGCAGTCTGGCGAGACCAGACTCAACGCCCTCCCACCGAATATTAACTACATTGTTCTTGAAACTCAAGACCCTCTCAAAAGACCCCAGAAGCTTTCCCTCAGAGGCCTGCGTGTTGAACTGCAGGAGTATCTCGGTGGCAACACTTGGCTCTGTCGCTATGAGCCCTCTGACATCAAGGTGCTTCGCGACCTAGCCTTTGTCAAAGATGCGAAGCCCTTACATCCAGAGTTGAAGCTTGAGCCAGCTCTAAAGACCTCTGATGGTGCCGCTGATAGTCGCACCGTGGATATTGTCCTCCAAACACGCGCAGATGACTCTGCCCAGGATATATCCCAGCGCATGGTGGACAACTTGGGTATCTCGCCTGAAGATATCAGCATCAGAAGTGGTGACTCCATCATTCGCCTGACGGGCAACGTTGACAAGATACAAGAGATTGCCAAAATTGACAGTGTCGGCTCTATCCAGGAGGTTCATAAGCTACGCCTCGTCAATAACGTCGCTCGTGAGATTCTACACGCTGACGTCACCGATTCATCAAACACTACGATTTTCAAGGGTGCTAATCAATTGGTCACCGTGGCTGATACGGGCTTTGACAAAGGCGATGAGCATAACACTCATGAGGCTTTCACTGGTCGTGTTCAGAAGCTCATACCTATTGGTAGACGTACTGAGACCAACGATCCTAATGGACATGGCACACATGTTTGCGGTTCTGTTCTCGGTGACGGACACGCTGACACGATGGGAGGACCCATAATGGGCACTGCACCAGCTGCCAAGCTCATTGTTCAGTCTCTCCTCGACGACGAGGGCGGCTTGTTTGGCCGATCTGATAAGACCCTTGGTGACCTTCTCCAAGAGGCACTGGATGACCAATCTTTTATCCATACCAACTCTTGGGGTCCTGTGTGGGAACGTCAACTTCCCTACAACAATGCCAGCAACGATCTTGATACTTTCGTTTCCGCGCATGAAGAGATGACAGTCTGCTTCGCTGCAGGTAACGATGGTGGTGAGAGCACTCCTCTTGGACATATCGGAGCTCAAGCAGCTGCCAAGAACTGCATTGCCGTTGGATCATGCGATAATCGACGCAAGGCTAGGAACAATCGATTTGACACGTTCAAAGCTGATGGGATTGCTGAGGGTAATCCCAACAACATCTCGTGGTTCAGTAGCCTGGGTCCTACACTTGAGGGTCGCATCAAGCCTGACGTCGTTGCGCCTGGTACGATGATTCTGTCGGCTAAGTCGAGAGATGCGAAGCCAAGTGACAATTTTGGTCGTTCAACTGATCCAGCTTGGATGTTTGATTCGGGTACTAGCATGGCTACACCTCTTGTAGCTGGCTGTGTTGCTGTTCTCAGAGAGACGCTGCAGAAAGATGGAGTTGAAGCACCGAGCGCCGCTTTGTTGAAGGCTATGCTGGTCAATGGAGCCGTTAACACGGGACAGAAGATCCAAGCTCAGGGATTTGGACGTGTCGATCTCGCAAATTCTGTGATTTTGAAGGGAATCACTACCAATAAAGGTTTCTTTGAAGGAGAACTTCTTGATGAGGATGCCGATGTTGGTTTCACGAAGACCCTGATACTGGGAGATCTTCTCATGCCTGACGGACCTGACTCAGCAGAAGTTACTCTCAAGGTCACCATGGTGTATACTGATCTTCCTAGAGCAGCCCTTCAGAACAACCTGAACCTGAAGGTTGCTGTAGGTGATCTACCTGGCAGGTTTGGAAATCTCGGGAATAGGCCTGATGGAAAGAATAATGTTGAGCAGGTGGTTTGGAATGGTATTCCTGCGAAGAGAGATACTAAGATCACACTGAATGTTTCTGCACCGCGGACTTTGCGTGAGGATAGCCAGAACTTTGCGCTGGTTTGGAGTGTATCTTGATTTGGGTTGGTGTTTTACGTTGGAAGGTCACGTTTACGCTCTCTCATTGAATCCTCAACTAAGTTTCCCCTCTCCAGCGATTTTTAGTCAGCAGGTCGACAAGCAAGATTGAATAGCTTCCAATAGTACTGTAAAAGATAAAAATAAAAAAAAAGGTCACGACTATGCAAACACCGCTCCGTGGAGCTTAACGCATAACCGGAGTTATTAGTATGATACATAATATTACATAGATATATCCTTCGGCCTGTATCACAATCTCCCCACTGTTGTGGAGGGCGTAAGCATATTTTTAGAATAACATAGACTTAAACGGCCTTTGTCCTCCTAGAAATTATGAAAGCGCCTTGCCTGCTCTTTGTCTTTGACCTGGTGTTTGATCCTCCACGAGCGTGGTAGATCGTCATTTGTGATATACGATCAGACCGACCAGCTAAGCGCCTGGATCATGGCCACGGCTTCATGTCGGCTGATAGCGATGATGATGTCATGCGAGACGAAGCCCAACCGATCGAAGGATTGAGGGGCGAGATATTCGTCTACGCCGAACGGGTTAGACTCTATCATATACTTCTGCAGACTAATCTGGGCGACGAAAAACTATGTAACATAACGTACATGATAAGCTGGTGCAACAGACAAGCGAGTGCAACAAAAAATCCCGCAATTTACATCTTCTCAACTTAATCATTTAATTTTCAACCACCAAATATGTCAGACCTAAATATTGAGGCTAGGATTCTTCTTGCACTTCGTGCCCTTCAAAATGACCCAAAATTAAGTCTCCGACGCGCCGCAGGCATTTACCAGGTCCGTTATTGGACTTTACATCGCCGACAGAAGGGTATCTTTTCTACGCGTGATTCTATCCCAAAATCACGCAAACTATCTGATCTAGAGGAGCAGATCATAGTTCAGTTCATTCTCGATCTGGATTCGCGAGGATTCCCCCCGCGACTGCGTTGTGTTGAGGAGATGGCTAACCGATTGCTCGCCGACCGAGAGATGCCGCCTGTCGGCAAGCGCTGGGCCTCTAACTTCGTCAAGCGACACAAAGACCTCAAGACGCATTCTTTCCGTAAATATGACTACCAGAGAGCCAAATGTGAAGATCCGACCATTATTCGCCACTGGTTTAGGCTCGTAGCAAATGTAATCGCCAAGTATGGCATCCGACCTGATGAAATCTATAACTTTGACGAGACTGGCTTTATGATGGGCATCATTGCGAGCGGAATGGTCGTCACAGGTGCTGAAAGGCGTGGAAGACCAAAATCAGTGCAGCCTGGAAACCGGGAATGGATTACAGTCATTCAGGCGATCAATGCCGAGGGCCAAGCGATCCCCCCGTTCATCATAGGTGCGGGCCAATATCACCTCGCCAACTGGTACCGAGAAAGCAGCCTCCCGGGCGATTGGGCTATTGCGACGAGTCCAAATGGCTGGACAGATAATGAGATAGGCCTTGAATGGCTAAAGCACTTCGACAGGTGTACTACCAAGCAGTCAAAGAATCGCTATCGTCTCCTGATCCTCGACGGACACGAAAGTCACCACTCGGTCGACTTTGAGAGATATTGCAAGGCAAATAAAATCATCATGCTTTGTATACCGCCTCATTCGTCTCATCTGCTGCAGCCTCTTGATGTCGGGTGCTTTGGCCTGCTTAAGAAGGCTTATGGGCGAGAAATCGAGCATTTAATCAGATGCTCTGTAACCCACATTTCCAAAACCGAGTTCTTCCCGGCTTTTTACACCGCCTATCAGGCCACAATGACAGAGAAAAATATTAAAGCAGCCCTTAGAGGAGCCGGACTTGCTCCTCTCGACCCAGAAAGTGTAATCTCGAAGCTCGATGTGCAGCTGCGGACTCCGACGCCTGCGGAGGAGGTAGTTAGCCCCTCGACCCCTTGGGTCTCAAAGACCCCAAAGACTATCCTTGAGGCCGACTCTCAGCTTGAATATCTTGAAAGGAGAATCAAAAGGCATAAAAGTAGCTCTCCAGAGTCGATTGTAGAAGCATTGAGGTCTTCTTCTAAGGGAACAAAGATAGTTATGCATAAGGTTGTCTTGTTAGAGGCCAGGGTCCAAGATCTTGAACAGGCAAATGAGATACTAAGCCGGCGGCGTAGGGCAAAAAGAACCCGGTTACAGAAAGGAGGTGTGATGACAGTAGAGGAAGGAAGGCAAGTAATTGATCAAACGGATGCTGATGCGCAGGCGGTGGCTGGACCATCGAGAAGGGGTGGTCAAGGAGGGCCTGCGCGAAGGAAGGAAAGGCGCTGTAGAGCGTGCGGCAAGACAGGACATAATGCAAGGACCTGTCAGATAGTTGTCGCTATGTCTCTGGAAGAATATAGCGATTAATTTTACTTAATTAATAGTCTGTTGTGTTTTTATGGCTATTTCTATTTGAGATGTTGGGATTTTTTGTTGCACTCGCTTGTCTGTTGCACCCGCTTATCGATGGTGCCCGCAATTACGTCGTAATTCGCTCAGACCACTTGACGACTTATCCCCCGCAAAAAGCGGCCCGTGAAATCGTGTGCGCGGCGCCTGATAAGTGCATTTGATAAGTTCCCCGCAACTTATCAGGCCCCAGACAGGAAACAAAGTCATATGGGGATATGGAGGTTAGGGTTCATGCGTGAGTTCAGAGAACAAAAACTTCTCAAAATGGGCCAAAAGCCAAACATATGGTAGAGCGAGACAAGCTTATTTTGATGAAACTAGACCCCGATTTTTCTCAAGTCTATGGAACAAGTTATGATGATTCAGAATATTTAGTCGATTGATTCTAGTCAAGTTGGTTGATGACAAAGAATTTCTTGGCTCACGATAAATTCAAATAGGTATAGCGACGCCCAACTTTGAAAGTCTTGGCTCACGATTAATTCAATCTGGTTTAGCGCGAAAACCTGGTGACACAATTTCGCGACCTTTCCTGATCAGTTGAAACCTATTACCCTAAAATCCAAGGCGACGAGGGGGAGAGCTACCATTCAATTGGCCTGGTAGCTTCATTGAGTCCTCAAACCTTGACGAAATAGGGAGTCATATGCTAGTGCAAAATATCGTACAAAGACTTACAGTGCGTAGCTCTCTTTGCGATAATTCTGAAAAGAAATGTCTTGAGGTTGTTTGTAAGGCCGGGCCTCATTGGGCGCCAGCACCTTGGAAGGATGCCGAGCTCTTGTTCATTGTTTTTGCTTTTTTTAACGCGATTATGTAAACTACGAGCCCAGCCAGAAGACGCGTCTCGCAGATCTTAATGTTATGGAACCCATTTCCGTTGCCATCAGAGATCAAGCAAGATAATGTCTCAACCAGCCCCTAGACGTCGTGGTCGACCCAGGAAGACAGAATCTAAAGAAGCGCGGGTCGCTCGGGAGCGTGCTCTGCAGCGCGTACGATCACAACGATACTACGAACGACAACATCAGCAAGCCGTGCAGCCCTCTCTCCCGCCAGCCGAACTGCACCAAATAGAATTCGTGCATTACCACCATGCGTTGTCTCAGCAGTCACCAGCTGCATCGTCAACGGACCCGAGTACCGGCTTCCACCTGGAGTCGCAACTCCACATTCCCATACCAGATGAAGATCCACTGCCGGTCGAGTCTACTTTGATCGATCACGAACCAAGCGGCGTAGAGGTGGATTCAGTCGAAGGACCGTGTGATCTACCATCTGTGGAGGATGATGATCCACATACGAGTAATACAACGCCCCAGTCTCGCCAAGTTCTAGAAGAACAAACGACTCATTTCAGCCTGGGCACGCAATCTATCCCTCATTCAGGTAAGTCTCTTCATCTCACTCCCGTGCGAGATGCCTGTCAAGAATGGTTTCGCCTCAAATCCCTTGAAGCATCATCTCGAGTCCTGACTACTACCCGCATAACTGACCCTAGTACCGCTATAACTCATGAAATTCGGTAGCGTCTGTGGGTACGCGCTAGCCTGTTTCTAGCTTCTTAATTGGCCTAGCTGTAAATAAAGATCTGATGGCTTGCTAAATATTACTATTGGTCAAATGGGTGAAATGGCTGTGCCTAGCGTGTATCCACAGGCGCTACCGAATTTCATGAGTTGATGCGGTACTACAGTCCCAAATCAACTCTAGTAGAGTTGATATTATTGACCACTTTAAACCTAGTTGGGTTGATTATTGCCAGGGTGTAGAGTTGATTTGACATTGTTCCACATACAGGAATAGTAGTGCTGATCAGAACAGGGATTTATCCAGAGCGCGACGCGTCCTTTTGCGTAAAGTGCTAACGTACGTGATAAGCGAGTGTTACAAACAAGCGAGTGTTACACTATACTGTATAACCGAAAGTGCTAAGATTTAGCGTTTTAAAAATTAACTATACAATTAAAAAAAAATCTAAGAAAAAGAATTTGCTATAATCTTTACACAGTAAAGTACTATACTAACTTTTATAAAATTCTACTTAATTTATTTAGGCTTATATTTACAAATACACAGTGTGAATAGGTTTTCTTTATACTAGCTATTAAAGAAATTATATAAAATCTAGGAAAAATATATTTTATAGATTCAGTTATAATCTATGCTATAATAAAATTTCTTTTATTTCAGGCATGATTTAAATTTAGAAGGGTTTATTTTTAGTCGAGTGTAAGCCAGTATAAATTTTCAATGTAACACTCACTTGTTTGTAACACTCGCTTATCACATACGTTACACGTACTATATGCAATAAATGTTCAGATAACCAACAAGTAACCCCCTCGATGATCATGTTGGTGGCTGTATACCTATATGCAGTGTCATGTAATGCGGGGTATCTACGAGCCTCAGCAATATTCTTTCACCTGTCAACGACGCTTTCACGCAATTGCGACAATTGGTTCGACACAAAAATGGACAACGCAACAGACACGTCGATAGACAAAATTGTGGAAATCGTGTCAGATGGCGATATTCTTCTAGTCGTCGGACCAGGCAAGACAAAGCTTCGTGTCAAATCTATGTTAATGAAGGCAATCTCAAGTCCTTTCTCCGCCATGCTCGGGCCAAACTGGAAGGAAGGCCATGATATGCGACATCATGATGGCCCGTATCAGCTATCGCTGCCGGACGACAATGCTACTGCATTGGAAATCATATGCTCTGTTATCCACTTCCAGAACGATAGGATCCCTCGGTCCCTCCCTGTTGGAGACGTCCTCGCAGTTGCAGTCGCCGCAGACAAGTACGATTGCCTCAACGCACTAAAATTTCCCAGCAAAGTCTGGCTCCGAGATTTGAAAGAGAAACCGGAAGATCTGATACTGCTGACTACCGCGGCTTACCTCTTCTGCGATGCACAAGCGTTCAAAGAACTCACTGCAGCATTGGTACTTAACCATCGTGATTCTTATCTTGGTCTCGGTGGTAAGGAGGTTGAATCCGTTCTGCCGTGGGAGGTATTCTGTATGTATTTCAACAAGCATCTGATCATATAACTAACATGCAAATGAATAGACTCGCTAGAAGAGCAAAGAGGTTTCGCGAGGCTGGAAGTAGCAGAGATTCTTATAAACGGAGTGAACTCTGGGCGCTGTGATTGTGGATGTGGATGGACAAGCACATATACCCATGCATATATCAGCAAACTGGAAGAGCAGAGTCTTTGGCCAGCAAATCTCTCCAATACCTCTATCTCAAATGCGCTACGTAGAGTGGAGATGATGCCTGATCCGGTCCCCAGCGAGCGAACTACGACTTGTAATAGCGCTCGGTGGCATCGTGTTCCAGAATATAGGACTAGTCGTAGCTTTAGCCTGGAGCGCTTAAACAAAAGTATCGGGCTTTGCCTTGAATGCGTTCGTGGGGGGAGCAACACTTTCAAATGTACGCAGCCATCTCATAGGTCTCAGGGGTAATTGGTATAAGTCTAAGATTCAATGTGTTATATTATGTACAAGTATGCAGTGGCCACCTTTATGTCGTGGTCAGCCCTCCCCTAGCAGGCTGCACCAGTCGCAATTTTACAGTTGTCCAAGTCTTATAGCTCCCCCGGTATTCGTCGGCCTGGACAAGCCAGCACCAGCAGAGAAAGTGAGCAAATGACATGATCTCCCAATCAAAAACGAGCAAACCTGACCCTGGTTGCATGTCTTACAACAGCAAAACCACTCCGACTATCGCGCTCATCGTAATCCACGATGAGAGCTCATAACTGTGAGCTTCTGAAACATCCATTGACGTAGCATGGGGTGCCTCCTTAGACTCCGAAGGAACTTGGCCCTGGTGAAGAGTCGATGGTTGGGAAGGAATTGCTGAAGTATTGAGTTGAGGTGTGGGTACAGGGCTTGTCTCTGTTGTCAGGCTCTTTGGAGATGATGGCTGAGAAGGATTCATCTGGGTTTTGCTGTTGGACTCTGGTGAGCCATCAGCTGGAACGGACAGATGTGGGTTTCCTTGCCCTGGTTGACGATGATCATCATTGGATCCTGCAGCTGAAGTAGGGGCCGCGGGCTGGTACGTCTTGTAGCTAGGATGAGAGCCATCTCGTAACCCTGTGGCTAGAGTGAGAGCTTTCGGTTTGCCGTTTGTGGAGCCGGGTTGGGAAACATCCTGTGAGCTTGCTGTAGGTTGTCCCCCTGGATAACTATTGCCACCAGCGTCTGCCTGATGCTCCCCGACCCAACCTGAAGGATATTGAACTATCGGATGTGTGTAGCGCTCGTGGCCTGTCTCATAAGCAGCTTTTGGAACTGTCAGTGTAACAACATCCTCTCCTTGAGTACAAGCAACAGTTGTCATGTCCACAGTCGGGTAAACCTGGTGCTTACATCCGCAAGGGCTGTAGAGGAGGGTAATCGGAACACAAGTTGTGACTAGAGACGTAGTATTGCTGGGGTTGACAGTAATGTATGTAACAGTGGTTACTGTCTCGGCAAACTGGGTCTTGGTGTAGGCATGATCGATAGTTAAAGTCGAGTAAGCAGTGTGAATAGCAGTTGGGGTGGGGAAAGATGTCGAGAGACGATCTTCAGATGTGGGGTTTATGGTAGTGAAATCGGAGGCGGAAAGTGTCTTGGAGCCAAGATTTATGGTTGTAAAAGAGGAAAAAGAGGAAGATACGGCTGTTTGAGTATAACGTGAAAGGGAAGTTGCTTTAGATGTTGGTTCATAAGTGTGGGCTCCCGTAGCCTGTAGAGAAGATGAGGGAGGTGAGGAGGACGAAGATGAGAAATCGGAAGAGGAAAACCTTTTGCGATAAAGGGTTAAAAGATGATTAGGCGCTATCACACGATGCAGAAGCTTTTGTCCGTCGCGGAGAATACCTCCACAGATCAGAGTGGAATCTCCAGGACACGGGAGATCGCAGCGTGCATCCGATATAAATTCTGTGTCGTCGAGCAGGTCGGCCTTATTCTATACCCCGTGTTGGAGGCGCTAGCCAAAGCCATCGGGTTAGCTAAAATTGGCATTTCGAATTTTGCGGTCAGTAAGCTAGCCAATTTGGCTCTTAGTGCATTTTTCTCTATCCAACCAGAATTTAGCGGTCACACGCTAACGCTTTTCGATTTTCGCGGTCACTTTACTAACCTAATCAGGATTTAACGGTCAAACATCGATTTCTACCCACTCAGACTGGACACTAAACGTAGTATAAAACTTATTACCATTATATAAATACATACACTATAGCATTTAGACTCAACTTATTTATATTTTTATAAGACCTTCTAGCTTGTTGTTAGTATCTTCGTCTTGGAAGTTGCTGAACTCGTCGTCGGCCCCAAGCTTTGCAGCCAATCAGAATTTAGCGGTCAAGATGTGGCCGTTTTTTGATATGTGGGGCCGTCACTCAGCCAATCATGAATTCCGTGGTCAAGATCCATCCATTTTCAGAAGCGAATCGTGCTATTTCATATAGAGTCTAGCGCGTCATTCCAAAAAGCTAAGCCGAAATGAAGGGAGACCTGGTAAGTAGCCTTCAATATCCGTGCGAGCTTTCCCGTCGGCCGTGTTATTGCATGAGTTAAAGCATCAGAATACCGATCCGCCCAGGTTAATACTCTACTCCCTCCGTTATAAGAAAGTAGATATCTGTACCACAGGTACACTGACTGTATCTAATCTGGTCCGCCATATAAGAGGTATTCTCGTAGGGAAGGGTGCCGATTAGCACATGCTGCTGTAGCAACCGCAAAAGCAACCAAATAATCGTTGGGGTATTAAGAAATAATCTCCGGTATCAACACAAAATAACCGTTATCACCTCATACAACAACATACTGAAATTAATATGGAGAGACCACCAAGACGTGGACGACCACGCAAATATGCAACAGCCAAGGACAAAGAGACAGCAGCCGCTCAACGCAGGCGGAACAAACGGCAGAAAGCTGCAGCTAGAAATAGAGGGGTACCCTATAGCAGTTTCCATAACTTGCACTATCCTACCCACAACTCTCACCTTCGCCTACAGTTTAACGCTGCCTCGACCGACTACAGCAGCTTTAGCTGCCCGAACAACACAAACAGCCTTCGGCTGCTCGACTTTCTGGGCCCTCTGGTGCCCTCGACCTTGACGCACGGATCCCACATGGTTCGTTGCCCTTTTTGCAGCTCGGAAGCTGCTTGACCGATCTCTGCAGTCGCGTACTGCCCAGAGACCTTCTTCTTCTTTGCGGCCTCGGCTGCTGCCTGGAACACCACCAGGCTTTGACAATCTGTCTCACTGGCTGAGACCTCTAGACCAAACCGTTGGGTCGAAACGGTACAGAGCTTACCTGGAGACCGTGGAACGAGGCGACTGCCTCGTCCACAGAGCAGCGTTCTAGCCGCCTTGGGTTTTTCCCTGCGAGGGGTTTCCCCAAGGATGTATGGTCCTAGGTTGCAGCTACTGGCGATCTTAGGGGATCATGGACTTCCTGCCTCAGGGTATGGAAAGCTACTTGATCTATCTGTGCAAGAGAATTCTAGGCTGGAGAGGAATAGATCCCGCTGACGGGATGACCTCTTGAAAGTAAATGCGCCTTTGTGCCGATGATATGCTGGATGAACTAGATGGGAGACGCTGCTGGAGGGAAGCTCTGCGAGGATCAACTGTATTGATGTCCAATGGGACGTGCTTCACCGACAACTACTGTAGGGCGAGCTACGAGTAGAGAGGTGCCTCTTGGGGGTAATGAGTACAGAAAACGCTCGAGCATGTATACGGCTCCGATCCAAGAGGCCTTGCAGATGGTCCGATCGAGAATCAGCAGGGCAGCGATTGTAGATAGTTTAGCTCAGCACGTCCTGTGCTCCATTAGGAGACTTTTTGGGGCCTACGGCCCTCCGGACGAAAAATATACATAACATAACACCTGATGAGTCTGAAGCGCTGGCCTTGCCGTTAGTGAGATGATCTTTACCGGACCTACCGAGGTGATTCGTCAGGCCCAAGTATGTGACGAAGAATTGAGTCGGTATGAAAGGGATCTTGAGACAATGAAAGGTTGCTGTCTCTATTGCCGTGTAGAAGGAAAATCGTTTGAGCATGTCGTAACGGCTTGCGCTCGACGTTTTAATTGGATTCGAGCTAAGCAAAAAGCACTTCGGGACTGCCAGAGCAAGAAGAAGGAATGGATGGACCCGCACGCTGTGTGCTGGAAATGTTACCAGCCGCAAGAGATCTGGCGAGCTGCGGATCTGGAGTACGAAGGGGACAAATCGTGCCAATACCCAGATATGGTAATGCCTCTATGGAAAAAAGCACCAAAGACTTATATAAATATCTCTAATTTAAACCTTCCATGTTCTACAAAGATGAGGACGCGTCATTACCTTCGCTCAGCAATTCCACAATCTTAGCCAGGGCCTGCTCATCTCCCTTTTTGGTTTCAGCCAGCTCCTCATCGACCCACCCTTCTGTAAATCCCCCCCCAAAATCAATTAGCCAAGCATTATCCTGCTCATCGATAATGATATTACTAGACTTTCCGTCTCCCCATACCAACCCATGTTCGTGAAGACACTTGATAGTTTCAGAAATCTGGACGGACCATTTCTGCCTTTTTTCTACCGTAGCGGTGGTGACATCAACATCGCTAAGCCTACGCCCAGGCACCCATTGTCGAAGAAACCCCAAGATCTGCTTGGTGTCCTTGTGATGAATATAACCAAGAAGCTGGGGAACCTGTATTGTGTTTGGTTGTGGGAACGCTTTGAGAATCTCACCAAGACATTCAAGCTCTCGCCCCTCGCCGGTGCCAAAGAGCCCGCCGGGTTGACCACGCGACTTGCAGAACATATCTCGCCCCCGTACCTGGACGGCAGCGGTAACAGTGTTCGCACCACGTACAAATGACTTGGAGACTACGATTTCCTCGGGGATATAGCGAGGTATGTCTTGGCAGATTTTCAACTCTTCCTCAAAGCCTGGGTCGAGAGCAGGGTCGATAGTGAGAATGGTGTTTGCCTCGGCTGGGTTGATGGGTACAATGGAGGCGTGACTAGCAGGAGCCTCTAGCCGAAAATAAAGGAATGGAGGGAACAGTAGATGATTTAGAGATTGGCCGTTTTGAGCGACTGCTCCTTGCGAAGATATTGGACGAGAGAAAAGAGGCCTTCCAGCATCCAGAATGACGCCAAGAACCTCATCCTCAAGCCTATCATACTCGTCGTCGTCCTGGCACGTGGTAGCTCGAGAGATAAGATCAACAAGACGGTCCTGTAGAGGGCGGTCTTTTGGCTCCATTTGACGAGTATCCTTTGTTGACGACCCGTTACTGGGAAAAATAGACACAGAAATCTGGTTGTCATTGAACATAAACACCATATCTGCACCACTTCCATTGCCGCCATGAAGTTGGGTGACTGCAATATCGTCCATTGTATCTGTTTCTGCTAGGTCGCTCATGTTTAGTCGAATTTGGTGAATTGTGATGTGTAGATGGAGAGGTAAAGGTGAAGGTAAAGGGGACGCTACATTATCAGGCAGAAGGGCACGGTTAATGACTGCGGGGCTGTGTCACGTGTACCTGGGACAAGTCTAGTACAGGCAGAGCTAAAGCGGTTATAGAGACGAGACATATCTAAATTTACATTCCCAATCACACCTCTGAACCATGTTAGTCTTAATAACAGATCCTGGTTTATTTTGGGGAGTTGGCAGTTTAAGTCTTACAACCCTTTGGGATGGCACTGGGGTTTAAGATTAGCGCGATGATGGCGGGTAATTCGGCTTCCTGATTCGCTATCTGTATGGTATGTTTACGAGTCCCACTGCGTGAGTTTGACAAAGAGGGTTAAGGGATTATTATATACTTGGCTGGACTAGAGCACCTGACATATATTAAGTCCGAGGCCGTACGATGCTTTTCGTAATAATTTTCGGTACTTAGGAAAATAATGATTGAGGCTATGTTGTATTCAAGCGCCTGCTACAGGTTAGTGAATTCCGATACCCCTCGTGTCTTGGCAGAGCACCAAGGAATTTTGGTAGCGCGGTTAAGAAGATTTAATTATAAATACATTTAGCCGAGGTCTATTGCAATATAAGATCATACTAAATTGGCGCGCGGTTAAGAACGATTGGTTATCTTACATCTAGCTCATGTTTGTTGGTACCAATTTAAGGGCATCTTGAATAGGAACGAGCGGGCCGCGTTCTAGTATAATAAGGCCCTTAAGCGCTTTATTAGAGGAAACTGCTATTGGATTTAACCATCAGCTTTTACAAGTTACTTTCTTTCCCGCTAAAACTGGGAGCATAAACGTTATCATTGTTCTGTTCCAACTACTCTGCCATTCAATATGTGTCACAACACTACTATCGTCCATCGCTGCGGGCAGCACACAGGCCGTGAGATTACCTACTGCCGCAACGCTGGAAGATCCCGCACCACCGGGAAAAAAACCATGTGCGGCAACCGCTCTGCGACGCGTACCAACCAACGGGACTCTTTGTGCTCGGAACCAACATGTCGCCACAGACAGCTCGGGGGTAGCTGGACCTGCTGTATGTGTGACAATGGCCCGAATCGCTACGGACGATGTGTCTTTACGCGTGTAATCAGCCCAGGGAGCGGCCATGTGATCAATCCTTGCAAACATAGTCCTTGTGATGAATGCACATCATATAGGCGACGGTAGTACTTATAAAATGGCGCTAGGTATGTTGTCACCCTTGGTATTTATGGGCTAGGGCTAGGCTTATTTAACTGATGTGAGTTGGTGTAGGGCTGGAATATGCTGTTTAGGGGATGCTGTAGTTATTAGGGATGTGGGACTATGAAGTACTAGAAGTGTGACGGCTGTGGTTTCCGAAGGGATAAAGAATAGTGTATTTGGTCTATATTGGTGGATTTACAGGGCAAGGACTGAGCAGTTGTCTTGTTATGTCTCTTAATAGTAGATACATTTGCTTGATAGGCCTTGATTAATGTAAAGGAGTTTTATTGGTTGCTGAGTTGATGGGGTAAAAGCTTCTTGAAACCACTGTTTGTATCTGCTATTAACTAATGATTAAGTTTAGGAAGGAAGTCTTGGTATCTGTCACGGCTCTAGCCTGGAGTTTTAAAGACACAGCTGCTATAAGAATAGACCGCCGCCAACGGATTAGAGGAGGGCCAATACTAGCTTGCGTATGATCCTAATCCTACTGTACCAATTACCCCGCGTATCAGGTCCTGATACAACATTTGATGGTCCGTGCCCTTTGGTATTGGGTCCTGATACACGAAATCATGGCCTGTGCACGCCGCGCACCCCTGTCACAACAGATCAGATGGTTTAATAACAGTAATCTCCGCCTAACTCATCCCTACTCAAGAATTACTTGCAGAAACGCATTGCGTTTCCTGTTTCTGACCAATCACCGTCTAGCATTTTCGCCCCGTACTTTCCCCGAAGGAAACGCACTGCGTTTCTCGCACCATGCTAATGAAATCAGAAAACCTAAAACACGAAACGCGTCGCATTTCCGTCGGCTGACCATTGTCAAGTACAACAGCTTCACTACAGACCTAAACAACAACATACATGACCGTTGTCTATTGAAATTCACCTGATCAAAATGACTGCCATTTACAACTGGCAGCTCACCATCACCATGAACTCGTTAGCAAAAGGATATTGGCCAAGACTTTCGCAGTTACCGCTGGCGGCAAGTGCGGTGACATCTGACAACTAGCAGAGCTTCTCACCCAATGGCTGACAAGCAAGTCTCACATTCACCAATCGAGCCCAGAAAACACGGTGCGGGGTAAATAAAGCTGATCTCGAATCAGGCAGCAATGACACCTACGTCGCTGGTGCCTTAGCTCAAATACTTCAGATGACAGACAACAGAACGTATCTTAAGCATTTGTTATTGACCTTACTCATAGGTCCCTCCGAACTTTAATTTCCCAATACAATGAACGACGACTCTAACTTCTCTCTACGCAACATTGTCACAAACCATGGCAAGTCAATTGCATCGCTTCTCCTCAACATTGGTTAAAACAAACAGCCCCAGCGGAAATATTTATCATTTATCCAAGAATTAGAGTGTCTCAGACTTGAGAACTCCAGTGACGGACCTATACTGATACGCCGCGAGATCAATGCCTTTGAGGAACAAGACTATGTCGCTCTGTCTTACACCTGGGGCAACTCTGAACAGGAAAGCCCAGTGAAGGGAAAATACAAGTTTCAAAACAGAGGATATAAGCCCCAATTGTTCCCATCGCCGGTTCGAGACAGCGTTTTTGACCGTGTGTTTTCGTTCATGCGGGCAAAGGGTCTTAGCATGCTTTGGATCGATAGGCATTGCGTCAAGCAGAAGACCTGCAAAACAAATGTTATATGTGCCCATGAACGATGCGAAGATAAGAAGCGCGCAATCGAGACCATGGACTTGGTCTACAGTCTGAGCAAGCACCCTGTGGCTTTGCTTGGGAAGCCAATCGAGTGGGAGCATGAACTTGATGTACTATTTAAAATCATCAGCGGACAGTTCGTGAAGGAACTTGAACAAACAGAAGACGACGAAATCTTACAGGCATTGAGTTTACTAAGTAGGATAACGAAAGATCGATGGTGGACCAGGGCCTGGACGTTCCAGGAAGACTATCGCGGACGGCGAAATATGACACTACTCATTCGACACCCTGAATTCCTAGAAGCAAAGAAAAGGGAGTACGAAATTTTCTCCGATGTTCCAAACGAACTTTGTATCGAATCCATACGCTTTAGCAAAGAGATTACCGAATTTTGCCGTGCGGTCCAGGATAAAACACCACGACGGGAAGATGTATCACATCATACAAAGTATATCCTTGGAGCCGCAGGGAACTATAAAATCTTATTGAAAAGTTCGATGCCTATGACCCCAAAAGTCATTGCCGACATCCAAAGGCGAGGACTGGACGATGCTTGGGATAAGTTGGCAATCATCGCTAATTGCTGCCAGTACAGCATTCGAATAGACCATAAGCAGATGCAAAAGCCAAAGAGCCTCAGTATATCGATACTAGCGATGTATCTTCTTAATGGAGAGATTCTTTTAAATGAATCACGAAAGGATTCCTCCTTCATGCTTGATAAGACCTTATCCCAATTCCTGGAGGATCAAGCATTTAAAGAGTTTTATGCTCCCGAGGGCGAACGCGATCTCACTTTCAATAAGGGATGTCGATTTATCGACATTGAGTTCACGCCTAAGGGTATCAAGACGGAAGGGCATCTTTGGAAACTTGGTAGGATCATAGATCCTGCAAGTTTTCTTCTTCCATTGCCCGAGGCTAAAAACAAACCCTACTCTGTTACCCAGGATGAACAGCGGTGCCTCGCTCACCTTGCAGCTGAACTGAGACGCTTGCATGAGACAACTCTTGCCATGCATATTGAAAGATTCCTGAGCTATGATCCTACCAGACAGGAAGATAATCTCAAAAAAGAGACTTTTTCTAGGTCATATATGCGCCTTATGGCAAAAGAGCTAGTCAAGGCGATCAAGAAAGGCAAATTGCTTCGATTAGGACGAATTTGGAACTTCCAGGAAAAGCCAAACCCATGCTCTGCTATATTTATCTGGAACGCTGATGCCAATATCAATAACAAAAGAGGCCGAAAACCAGAGTGGAAGTTTGCATTTACCGCTTCGAGACCTCTGAAACGCGGTTTCCAGCAGCATGGTACCAATGATCTAGACCACCACGTGTCACTCGAAGTTAAATGGCCATCCTCATGGAATCATTCTCCTAGTGAACTTCCTCAACTTCTCGTCAGAAGCTGGATTGTTGGATTGTGTTTTTTCTATGATTTCCCAAGGACAAGTGTTATTTTCTCATGGCCTTCCTCATTCAATACAGTCATTCATTGATTGAGTCTCCTATGTTTTAAATCATCACCAGTTGTGAAAGAAATTCACGCCAATAGCTTCTTGCAGAATAAGTTAAGAGAACGCAGTAGCAGAGAAGAGCTCTGAAACTCTATTAATATGGTAAACTATTACTAATGGTGACCTTAATCATGTCATAATGTTGCCAGTCCATATCTAGTGCGGATTAAGCTCGCCAATTGACCACGTATCTTTGTCAGAGAAGTATTAAGCCTATTGCTCTAATGCCTTCGCCATCGAGATGGCTAGTTGTATGCCCATGTCTAAGCGTATCTGCCGTAATGTAGATGCAATCCAAGTTCTCTGATTTTCGTATGTTGTTCTTAGCATACCCGAAAAGAACAGCGGCTATAGGAGTAAGTAGCCTCCGGGCGATGGGGGTAACTCTACATGTGCCGCTTTCTTGGTATGTACTCCGATGCGCTCGAATCCCAAATGGTACGGTACGCTATGACATATTCCATTTACCATGTTAACAAGAACCTTAGCCGATCTGCTTGCTCTTTTCCTGCCGCCAGGCGTGTCGTATCTCAGAGTTGCAGACAGGATTGCCTCATGCACAAAAAGTCGTACAGTCCTATAGCTGTTCCATAATGTCGCAATCCGCAATTCCGGGTACATATTGTACTGAGACTGGAAACTGGCGACTGGAGCATTGGCTGATCCGAGATGTTGGTACGAGTTGAAGACCTAACTGCCCGGTAGGTCTCGCGCCCAGGCCACTAACATTGCATCTATGGGGAGAAGCATGGCGGCTACAGTACAGGGATCTGAAATACGTTTGTGCTTGATCTCAGCCCGGGCCGCAGCCAGGAGCTCGTTGATCTCCGAGAACCGATTTGACGGCGTATCCTCGACTCTCTGTAAGGGTTGGGCCCAACACGACCACCTGCTGAGAGCATATGGTAGGGGCACCTGCAGTTGGTAGAATCGACGCCTCACGTTCATCCAGACCTGGCAGCTAGGCTGAACAACCTTGGAAACAAGCTTGGTCGGCGGTATGAACGGACGGGAGAGACGAAGGACCTGGAAGAGGCGATCCAGGCAGTAAGACAAGCTGTAGAATCGACGCCTCACGACCATCCAGACCGGGAAGGCAGGCTGAATAACCTTGGAATCAAGCTTGAGAGCCGGTATAGACGGACGGGGCAGATAAAGGAACTGGAAGAGGCCTCAACCGATCTCCTCGAGGCTTGGTCCTATTTGACTGCGATGCCATTCCATCGTCTCATGGCTGCTGCTACGTGCCTGAAATTACTCGCTATACAGAACAGAGTTGACGAAGGCATCGATCTTGGAAGAAGGATACTCGATGTCCTTCCTTCAGTCCATACCCGAGCTCTCGATCGCAATGATCAGCAGTTCGTCGTGTCGACATGACAAGGCCACTTTCTTAACACTTGTATGCCAAGAAAGTGTGATGACAAAGGAAGGTTGGAAAGTATAGCCTGTAAATAGGGTTATGACAATAGGGTAGCTAAGCTCCAACATCACGTGACATACAGGCTAGGACCGATAAAAACTGCCGTAAGGTGCTCACGGTCCTGACGAAAAACATCAACACCAGCGAGAACGAAATTTTTGAAAACAACAGCTATTTACAGCGCCGCAACACCGTTCCGACAGGTTAATTGGATAGCCCAGTGTCGACCGCATTGCCCAGTGCGACTCAGACATCATGGCGACCCCGTGGCCCCAGGACGAAATTTGGCCCACTGATTACCGAGAGCACGCCACAAATTTGAGCAAATATCTTCAAAAGGCACTGTCAGCCATCGACAACGGAGATGGTCTGCCTGTCGCATCCCGTGGAGTTCGAGTTGCACTTATTGGAGCTCTCACCCTCATCGTCAAAATGCAGAGCACACCCGATCTTGGTCACGTTTACGAAGCCGTGAAGAACGGCCAAGCTGAAATAAAAACCGCAGCCGAAAATTTAGCGCAACACATCAACAGCCTCAAAAATGATCTCAATGAAACAAACACCCAAGCTCAACAAACCATGGAAGAAGTCCAGCGCAGTTCGGAGATTACGACAGACGCAAAAGCGGCTGCAAAGGAGGCCACAGAGATCGGTAAAGCAACGATGAAAATGATCAGAGACATGAAGCTCGTAAGCCAGCAGAACCAAGCCAACGCCATGCCTACCTACGCCAACGTGCTGGCGAGGGGAGGGCTAGCGGCAAGCATGCATAACCCACAGAACCAGAAAGCGTCACCTGTTCAGACCCTGCGTGAGATTATCATCAACATCAGAGACCCTGTCACTATAGCCAACATCAGAATGATGAGCCCACGCAGCCTGAAATCACATGTAGACCTCGCAATTGAGCAAAGCAGCAACGAACACATAGAGAACATCAAGGTAGTATCCTCCAATCAGCTTAAGAGCGGCGACCTGAGCATCAAGACGGCCACTACAGCGGACATGGTGGCGCTTAGACAGTTTGCAGAAGACTGGGAACAAAGGATCGGAAACGGCGCCACAGTACGCATTCCGACGTACGGTGTCTTGGTGCATGGCGTACGCACTAGTTCGATGAACATGGACAATTTTGAACTCATCAGAGATGGGATACTTCAGGATAACAAGCCCTTTATACCAAATGCAGAGATCAAGTACATAGGCTGGCTGACGAGATCTTCGTCTACCAAATCAGCATCTTCGGTCGTGGTTGAGTTCACGAGACCAGAAGACGCAAATAAAGTCATCGATGAGGGCCTCATCTGGCAAGGCGAGGTGTTCCAATGCGAGCTCTATGACAGACAGTGCCGTGTGAGACAATGCTTCCAGTGTCACAAATACGGCCACATAGGAACCCAGTGCAAAGCAACAATAACATGCGGCTACTGCGCGCAAGATCATGCCACCCGGGATTGCCCAACCAAGAGCGACAGGAACGCCCCGCGAAAATGCGCGGCCTGCAACGGCCCGCACGAAGCCTGGAACAACCAATGCCCTACCAGGAAACAGGAGGTGAACAAGGCCAAAGCAGCCTCTAAATCGAGACCCAGGTACCACTTGGAACTAGAAAGCTTCGTCGCCAGGATCACGACCGGAATTAGAACAAGGGATCGGCAAAATGAGTCAAACCCGATCGCCAGGACAGGGCGACCCACCTTGGAACCAGGCCGGCCACGAGACGCCAACTCGTCCCGGAGTAGATCGCCGACGAAGAAGCAACAGAAGAGAGCGAATTCCAGCAACAACCAGATAACACCCGATGATCCCAGAAACGAGATCGTCGTGAACATAGGGAGCCAGCGGCCTAGACGAACATTAGCTCCTTCCAGGAGGGTATTGGAAACACTGGACGCCAACAGACAGATCACACAGCAAAGCCAGCAAATGGAGGTTGACGATCAAGAATGTTAATAGGAAACACTCTTACAATACTACAGTATAACGTTAGAAAATCAAAGGACACAGTCATGGCTACGCTCTTGCGAGATCCTGATATAGGGCGATACGACATCCTCGCTATCTAGGAGCTATGGAAGAACCCATTTGACACGACAACTCACCATCTAGCTAAAGACTAGTTTCACCTATGCTACCCAGACAAGGATCGAAACTTCCCAGCTAGGGTCTGCTTTTTTATCAATAAGAGGCTCGATCACTCCAGGTGGCACTTTAGAGAGGTAAGCAGAGATCTCTGCTCGCTGAACCTAGTACTCGGAACAGAAGAAGAGCAACAGATTGTGATACACAACGTCTATAACCCAACAAAAACTGCAACCGAGAGAGGAAGCACGCTTCCACTCCTGGAGCTGGCCATAGAACGATGGTCCCATCACGAACAAATCATTGTTGGCGACTTCAACCTCCACCACGAGCTATGGGGAGGTGATCGGGTCCAGCGAGCAGACCCTGATGCCGCTGAGCTCACCACAATCATGGAAGACTACTGTCTCACGAGCAACCTTGCTCCAGGCACTATCACATATGAAGAGCGTGACGGAAGAACGACCATAGACCTTTGCCTCACGACGGCAGGCCTTGTGGACAGACTGATTCAGTGCGAAATCGAAACAGACATGGACCATGACTCTGACCACCTACCTATCACCACCTCATTAGACCTAAACACTGTCAAAATGATAGCTAAGCCCCGGCGAAATTGGAAAGCGTTAGACGAAAAGACATTCACTCGCGTGCTGCAACGGGAGCTTCCGCCGCAACGAAGATCAAGAACAAAGACGGCTTTGGACAGACATGTGGAAGAAGTAATGGCAGCCATAACGGCAGCTGTCGATGAAGCAGTACCGAAGACGGCTCCGTCACCGAGATCGAAGCCAGGGTGGAACGAAGAATGCGCTGCAGCCTTGGCAGAATCAAAACGACTCCGTCGGCGACACAGCCTGTATCGTACCGAAGAGACATGGGAAGCATACCGTGCGGCGCGAAATGACAAAGGTAGAGTTATCAAGAAAGCACTCAGACAGAATCATCGAGAGAAGGTAGAAGAAGCTGCACAATCCCCGGCAACCCTCTGGCGGTTAGCAAAATGGGCCCGAAACAGACACAGTCAAACACCGAACGTGACACCCGCGCTAGTCAACCCAGCTACAAAGCAGCAAGCAATAACCCCTAGCGAAAAAGCAGAGCTTCTCAGAAAGACCTTCTTTCCGGTGCCACCTGACACTGATATCGAAGACATAGAGAATGCCAACTACCCTGCTCCCACAGCCATGCCACCGATAACAACGAGGGAAATAGAGGAGGCCATTGAGGAGGCAGCCCCACTCAAGGCTCCAGGACCGGACGGCATCACGAACAAAGCACTCCAAATCGCCTCTCCCTGGATCAAGCACCATCTCACCAAGATCTTCAATCAGTCCCTCACCCTTGGCTACTATCCGGAACACTTTCGACAATCGACAACGGTGGTCCTCAGGAAGCCAGGGAAAGACAACTATACCGTGCCAAAGGCCTACAGGCCGATCGCTCTATTAAACACTACAGGAAAGATCATGGAAGCGGTCATAGCAAAGAGGCTGAGTTATCTCGCCGAGACTCATAACCTGCTGCCTGATACCCATATGGGTGGAAGAAAACTGCGATCCACTGAGCACGCCCTCCACCTTATCATCGACAAGATATATGACGCCTGGAACACCGGGTCAGGCAAAGTGGCAAGTCTACTGCTTCTGGATGTATCAAGGGCGTTTGACAACATTTCACATGCACGCCTACTACACAATCTGCGGAAGAGAAAGATAGATGAAAGAACAGTCAAGTGGATCGGAAGCTTCCTGCGCCCAAGATTCACAACGCTATCAATTGATGGCTTCACATCTGAACCCTACAAATTAGAGACAGGAGAGCCACAAGGATCGAATCTGTCACCGATCCTCTACCTCTTCTACAACGCAGATCTAATCGAAAAGTGCGGAGAGTTAGACGACACGGCCACAACCGGCTTTATAGATGACGTGGCTATACTTACATGGGCAGACTCCACGAAAGAGACATGCAAGAAGCTCCAAGAGGCACTCCATATCGCAGAGCAGTGGGCGGCCACTCATGCGTCTATCTTCGCGCCAGACAAATTCCAGCTTACTCATTTCACACGGACGAGAACAAGAATAGACGTCGAGGAGCCTCTGCAAACAAGATGGGGCACGATCGAACCAAAGAAAACATGCAAATACCTGGGTCTCATCATGGACTCCACCCTCACCTGGAAACAGCACATAGATGAAATACAACGCAAGGTCACCAAGACAGTCAACGCCCTTAGCAGCCTCGGTGGTTCGACTTGGGGAGTGACAATGAGAGAGATGAGAAAGATATACAAAGGAGTGGCTGTGCCGCAGATGATGTACGCCTGTTCTGCCTGGTCGAATGCAAACTGGAGAACCAGGGACAAGCCATACACAGAGCGAACATTGAGCAAGCTTCAAAGCCTACAGGCCAGAGCTTCTAGGGTGATTAGTGGAGCGTACAAAGCAGCATCGATACCTGCCCTTGACGTGGAAACATACCTTCTGCCAGTCGAACAGCAGATCTTCAAGCATAACGTCGACACTCTGGGAAGGGTCGGCCCAGCTGAACGCCGACATACAGAAGAGGAGGCGAGAAGAAACAAGAAGAAAAGCCCGAGACGAGCTATTGAACAAGCCATCAGAGACCGCCAAGGGCCGGATATCCGGAGACAAGAGCACATCGCGCCTTACATTGTACCTCCATGGTGGCAGGGGCCACAGATGTTCATCGAAACAAACACAGAGGAGGCGCAAATCAAACACGAACAGATCATACAATACGAGCCGGACGCCGTACACATCTACACAGACGGTAGCGGCATCGGTGGTCATATCGGTGCTGCCGCAGTCTGCACCACCACCCAAGAAACAAAGAGTGCTTACATGGGAGACGACACGACTTCCACCGTCTACGCCGGTGAACTCCAAGGC